TAAAGATTATCGTTAATCAATTGACCAGATTCCAATGACGTTTGAATGTAAATCAATCTGAATTGAGTTCCTTTGTTATAATTTCTTGTGAAGTTATGTCTGGTACAACTCAAGAAGTCATGATGAAAGCTGGAAGTGGTTTGAGATTTATAAGAGTTACATTGTTAATATGAAGAGCGTTTTATTACACTTCCGCGAAAGAATGAGTACATACCAGACTATGTACTAATTCATATGAGAGATATACATAGAACTGATGGTGGGCTAATTTGTGGTGGGTTTAGTATAAATTACTACACAGCTAATGTAATGGTATGTTCATTATTCCCATTAGGTATATAATATATCGTACTTTAATTTAAATTATATATTAAAAAAACTATTATACTAAAGATAAAACCAAAGTTGGAGTACATAATATAAAAAGGTTCAAACATTTACGATAGAAAGGAAAAACAATAAAAGTTATTAAAATACATTTAACTGAGTAATACCTAATTCAGCTGTGTTGTGTGATGGTTGTAAGTCAGGGAATGCACGTAAGGGTGTGTATGTGGGGCGTCCTCATGATGCAGATTATTTAGCGCTAAGGATATTCTTAAAACTCCTTTTAAGCATAGTTTACGACAGCTTAAACAAGTCAAGGCTTAAATAGCGGTCGTTGTATGAACGGGCTGCGCATATGATATAGCAAGAAAAATAATGCTGTTTTACTATTAAAAATCAGATAAGTTAATTAAAATGCAGACATTCAATGAATACGAGTTGCCAAGGCCGACGATGTGCTGATAAAAATAATTTTAATAACAATAAATTACGAATTTGCATAACAATCATGAACATTAACAATATTCAGTTAAAACATTAAATAAAAGCTTTTGATGCATTATAGTTAACATTGTAACATACAATAAGAACTTACGAAGCTTATAATAACCACACGAGTGGTACAATTCATATCGTAAAAGTGGTCCCCATACAAATAATTATTGTTAACAGAAATATATAATACTTGTACGAGCCAAGGCTGCCTGCTCACTCAGGTTTTCTTGGTTTTATAAGCGTGGCCATTACCTAAATCGTCAGAGTTACGCCCCGAAAGTATAGCCAGACGCAGGCACTATCTTCAGTATTAAGTAGTCTACGTATACTTTGCACTTAATGTTTTGAGGGGTAGAACTGACCGCATGGGACTGATTCCGAATTGCTTACACTGTATGTGCCTGAAAAGTATTTCAGATCCCAGAGCCATGCCCCATTGTCAGAGTGGAGGTCACGAACTGTACTCAGCTGTTACCGATTCCGCTTATCTCTCTGGTCAACCGTTTCCTCAGTTCTGCCACCAAAACTGGCAGTATATTTGTGACAGTTTTGGGAAGACTGAGAGATGATTTTTTATTTATTAAGTAGACAACTTTTTTGTAGTATGTAAGTTAAAATATTGTTTGGCATGTATTATATGCTTTCAATAAATAAAGCTTAGCATTTCGCTTAATAACATTTAAATAGTTATCAATAATCTTAGTTCTACGTGAGTGATGAATTTAGAGTGAAAATAATATCCTCAATTATTTAAAGCATTATCGCAAATGGTATATATACCTACGTTATTCATTATCTCCGACAAAATAGTCAGTGAAGCCAAAGAAAACAAAGCGGTCATCATACACAATCATTATAGTAGGTAATCCGTTTTAATAACAACTTTCCTTCAAACTAACAAGATATTCTTGATAGTAAAAAAATGTCTCATATATGAAAGCATTTAAGTTGATGTACCTAATTAGAGTAGGTATTGAAATAAGGGCGATGGCTGTGCTATATCGAAGTGCCTCACAAAAATAATAACAAAAGTAAATAAAAAATTAATTAGGGCATTCGTGAGATTTTGCCACAATATTATGGTAGTAAACTCAATAATTTATTAATAAAATATATATTATTATAATCACTAACACCCGCGCGGCTGAGTAAACCTAACCTTATCTCTAAGATGGCAAGTCGCGTCTTCTTATACTAAAGTCAATTGTATTTATCAAGCCAGACGAAGCTTATATAAATAATCTTAATTGGTTAATTATTCTCAATAATAATCTATTATTCACTCATTCTAAGAAAAAATATACAATTAGAGTTTTTGCAAATGTTTTAATATTCCATAATAACTAATAGAAATATTATTTAATAACGTCAACACTAAACAATGTTGGTTCCTAATTGGTATGACATTTTTGTGTCTAGTAATTAATTTATACGATTTATAACCCGTGTTTTTTACAAAAATTAAGTTAATTTGATAACACTGTTTATCTTTTCACGCTATTATGAAAATTCGTGTTAGACTTAGACGCCAAGCCCACCAGACCTAGTCCCTTTTAAGCAAATGGGGGATTTGACACTTCCTCGCTGCCTAGCTTCTCGGCCACAGATCTGATCGAGTGCCTGATAGGCTACTATGTAGGGGTCCCATATATTAAGAAAAATATATTCGTACTAGTGCTTTACTTAAAAAATAACGATTTAGTTTTTCGTAATGTATTCATTATAGTTATATTCCTTCCTTTGTAAATCAAAAAGTTGTAAATTTTTTCCACAAAGCCATATTTTATATAGGTACAAGTGTGGAATTATAGATTTTATTAGTAGTAAATTAGTATGTGACACAACTAATTATTATTTCGCCGAAAACTAATATGGGGACATAAAGCTCTATATTCTTAGAACCGTCAGACTGCGTTCGAAGAAGCTCTTAAAATATTATCACCAACCCATGTACCGTGACTATTAATATGTGTTATAATATTTTACTAAGCACTATTTTATATTGCTTACTAAGCTAAATGTGTTATAGAGTAAAAATGTTGGAAATATCATTTATCCATTAATTGGTCAAAAAATCCATAATTAAAAAAGTATTTTTTATAAATCATATGACTCAAATTTTGCTTGTGGTGAAGACGTATTAGTAATGTCTTCAACTATCTAACCCTAATGCTGTTTTGGACTTTAATTACGTTTGAGATTTCGGATAGAACTAATTGTGTCATTTAAGATGACAATTGACACGTAAAAATGGTATGGTACGTCATAGTCATAAAGTAGAGAAGCGTTTTAGCGGGTTCTTAAAATTAATCTTTAATTTGAATTTTTAGCGCCAATACCTAACAGAATTAAAGTTTTTATAGTTACTGTAGTCAATATAATCTGAAATGGTTTGAAATCTTGTAAGCTCATTATATGGCCCATCGTAAATAAGATTTCAAAAACGCTATGTGTATAGCTTTTATATCTAGTAGTATCTTTAAAAGGTCTAAAAAAACTATCACAAAACATCGAAATGAAAAAATATTATTTAAAAATCTTTAAAAAAGCTACCTACCACGACGCCACAATATTTTCTTGTGACTTTAAATCTCACACCAATAGAGCAGCCATTTAAATCTTATACAAAATTTACTGTTATTAAATACAACAACAGTCCAACATAAATAAACAATAACGGGAAATTTGGCATTACGCACTAGGACCAGCTTGTAGCGGCCTGAATGTAAAACGGCAGATCAAGGGCGAGATATCACTAATATTCAGTACATGATAACATTTAAGTCTTACTGTTAGATGCCTTAATATTTTCTGTATTCTGGATAAACTGTTTATAACAATTTATAAAAGAGACTTGCTTTATATACGACATAGTCGCCGTATTCTTGGCTTGGTTCTGGAACCATCGTTTTTCGAATATACTTTTTTTTGACATGAAATGTCACCGTTACCATAAAGGGCTTTGACAGGTCAGATCAGGTTGATTTGGCTAACGTAGCATTTTCCCCCGACTAGCGCAAGGGCCCCTCTTGCGAGTCTCAGACCTTGGCTTGGGCCGTCGCGGTGATGTATTGAATTTGGTCTAGCTACTATGTTTAGTTTGTCGAATGTGTTAAAAGGCTTAAGATAAGTAGCGACACCTGTATTCTACGGCTTTAACTACAGCGATGACGTCAAACCTCGAAACGCAACGAAGTTATCCCGTCCGCTAAGGATATAAACAACTTCTCGACTTCAGCCACTGGGGCCTTCGCGCTAGCTAAACTGGTCAAAGATACTCCCTTTAAGTTATCACAACGTTCTTCCTCACAGATACATTGCCATCATTTAATAATAAAAATAAACAAACAATACCTATTTAGTCATCATTCCCATAGTAATAAAACATAAAACAAAAGTTATGTTATGCAAGAAACCATGTTAAACTGGATTCAAGAACAAGTTAACTATGGGAACGGATCATATTCCTAGTGAGCTAAAAATAGACTAAACCGTCTTTTGCCCTTTTTAGTTCAACTGTAAAATGCAACCAACCAAGATTCCAACACACTATTTAATAAAAAAGGATACGTTTTTATTAATTACAATTATGCGCATTTTTTATAAAAACAGATCACAGTTGCTAATTGTAGCGCCATCTTGTGGTTATTTAAAAAACCAGATCTGTTTCAGCATCTCATAGTTCTGAACTTACAAACTAGGTGGTGCTGTCATAAATATAAAAGGTATTGGTTATTATAACACAACTTGAATGTTATGTAGACTGTCAAAATTTTGTGTTAACGATGTTCAAACTAACATATCTAGTCTCTAGCCTGTTTTTTTTAATCAAACCTCACGATGTTAAATCCTCAAGGGAAAGATAATACATAAATACGGATAATTAAACGTATTAACTTTTTTTTTCGAGATATATTTTATTTATATTAAATTCCTATTTTATTATAGCTGTTTAATACTAATTCGTTATAAAGTTTTATCAAAAATCCGCAATTTCTCATTAGGCACGCGAACGTTGAACGTTGCCAGCCTCATAAAATTAATAAAAGGTTTTCTTTAAACGTGATGCTAAACACGTATAAATATTTTCATTAAAAATCTAAAATAGATTTAACAAACATAAAAAAGAACAACATTGGACTGACGCTCTGCCCTTCTATAGTTGTGTTCAGTTTTATTTAGTTATCCACATACCTGAGTAAGCAAGTGAGCTGCACATCATTCTGGTATCGTGCCAGAGCTGTTGCTCCCTCAACTCGGACTGTATTCACTTTATCCCGTAGCGAGTTGTTGCAACCGCCGCACCGTTCCCGTAGTATCGACATTATGTTTGGTTGTCTGAGAAACGCTACCACCTGTTAAAAAAATATTTAGAATGTTTGTTCAAGACCCATAATTCTTCATCGTAAAGGGGAAAGAGTCAGACATATGTTTCATAGATCACTTGATACGATAAGCTGTGTTCTTTTGATAATTTATATGTTAAGCTAAGTCGGATCTGATGATTGATTTTAATTGTAGGGCTAACGAGCTTGCAAAACGGCCATGAACGGCGGGAAGACAACCGCAGCCCATGGACACCAATTTTATTGCTGGATGCGTTGCCGTCTTTTGATTGAGGAGTACGCTCTTTATTTAAGCACCTGTTAGTCATGTGGAAGTGTTTATGGGAAGACATCCACTGGGAGCCAGTTCGTAAAAGGAAATGCCAAGTAAAGCAAACTAAGGAAAATCAAAGACGTCGGTTACACGCCATGTATGTTTACCGCAAGTTTAATTTAAAACAATTATAAGGTACATTATTAACATGTATTTTATTAGGGAGCCTGATTATCTGAATATGGATTAATTATTGTATGAAGTAATATTGAATTCGGCGAGGAGAAAATTATACTACATACTATATATATATAATAAGAATTGAACGTGAGTGCGTGTACGGAAGTTTAAAAAATAAACTTTTAAAACTCACCTTATCATTATACGCGACAGGAATTTCTTGAGTTTGGTGTGTATATGTGTCTGAGGACGAAATTGGCGGCCGAGGAGGTGGAGTCGGCGCCTGCACAACAAATTATGAAATGTTGATGAGAAATATAAATGTCAAAATATATATAATCCGTTGACCTATGTTGTAAAAAAAAACGGTGGACAAATGAATATACAAAATACATTAGAAATATGGCAATACAATTAAGGCATATGAAGTACGGATGAATAATAACGGATTTAAAAATTATGAAAATATTATAACAAAAAAAAAAGAATAAATAGAACGAACTTGAAACAAAAAGTACATCCAATCCTGGAATTGATCACTTGATGATAAATATAGTCAAATTGTGTATAGTACCTTACTAAGGATATAATAAATAGTTCTACGTTGGAATTAAACTAATCTACTCTACATTACAACGACACAAAATAAAGAACGAATGCTAATAATAAACACAATATAACCCTTACTTATAAAACTGTTTACCCTTCCTTTATAAAGCTTTAGACGATATGTATTTCTATGAAAACATTGTAACCATCGTAACGAAAATGTAATATAATTGTATAAGTAAGGGGTGCAATAAGACCACCTTTATTCATAAACATACATAAACCTCAGATAGCTTTTGTCACTTTGCCAATAAATAAATAACCTAACATTCAGGCTTATATTACGTTATGAATAGAGGGTACACATGAACACATAACTAGCAAAAAACTTAAATGCACACGATGCAAGTACTTCGTGCAAAAAAACCACGATGCAAACAGAAACATGCTGCCAAATGTAATATATAATCCAACGTTATCTTTATCTTCGTTCTCGTGGGTTAAAATTTAATTTAAACCACATGCAATAAATACAATTATTACAGAAGTATGTATAATACTTAAATCGTTTAAGTAATTCAAAACTTGTTTGGGATTTCATGAATTACACTAAATTTTAGTGCATAAAACACGTAAAGGAATGCGATGAAGTTCACGAGGATTCATTGTAATAAAGAAAATTTTAATAGTAGACATGGTAAAGTATATGCCCGTACTCTTTTTGAAATGGTGAAACCAATAATATATTTATTAATTGACACATACCTACCAATATCGCCAACCTTGGGTTTTTACTATAATTACAAAGAGACGACACTGATGTGTCAAGTTAGGTGATCCTACTACTAGATGGCGCAATTTTCTTAAGAAATTAATTATGGTGTCCTATTAAATAATAAATTACGAATGATATTAAAATAGAAAGATTATAAAAATTAAGATTAACTACATAAATTAGATGATCGAAAACGCCATCTGTGCGTAGTGATAGGTAACTTGACACAAATCGGCGCATAATTTTATTATTTAGCAACTATTAGTACGGGCCCATGTCTCGAAAGATTACTTTTTTAATGTAAAGATAACGTTAGAGTAATCCGCAACACCTGTTCGTGGTGGAGCAGGCGCCTACGCGGTGGCAACAGCGGGGAGAAAGGCCCCGCTTGCGGCGCGCGAGGCAATCGAGGATCGATGAATGTCGTACGACGCATCACGTGGTCCACGAAGAAACACTAACGTATTGTAAAATATCAATGCGATGGTTTTCGATAATAGACGTAGTTCGAAATTCTTTTACTATCCCCCGTTAATATAGATATTCTTAAGTAATTTTAAGCTTTTCTTGGCTTGGTCTGTAGTTATTTCTAAAGATTTCCGTTGCCAAGCGAATCGGTAACAAGAATTATAACCGTTGAGAGGTTTCTAAAGTATAGGATATAAAACCTCGTTTGTGTAAGTAATGACTTTTACCCGTCTATAGATAAGGGATAAATATCTATTTAGATTTTAAAAAATATTTGATATTTTATCGTAAATAAATTATAACATTGATTAAATTGTCGATTGAACTAGTTGAGCTTATACTAATCAAGAAATATAAACCGTAGCAGAAGGCTACAAGGTGTAGGTTTTCACCTAAAAACTGTGAATCACTTTAAAAACACATACCTTTCCATTTCTGTCGACTTTTGTATCCCAGCCGAGTGGTAAGTCCCTATCAGAATCGCTGAACATATTGACCAAAGCGACAAGATCCCGGTTATGTTGATATCGTTCGAAGGAAGCTGTGTCCCGACGAATCTTTGATATCATATGCTTTAAGGTCGAGTTACAGTTGTATAGGGACGATGCTTCCTATAAATTAAAATTGATATCTTAATATTACCACGAAAACAAAAACCAAATTTGATTATTTAATTCAAAACAAAGTAAAAAACATCATGTCTTAAATCCAAAGAAGTCGACGGCATGGCACAGGAGGCTAATCACCTACTTGACTATTAGTAAAAATAAATCACGAAACAGTTACAGAAATCTGAATCCCAAACCTAAAGTTTTAGCGCTACTCTTTTTTTGATATAGATATTGCCTCAATGTACTTGGTAATGCACAATGTTAGTTATTGCAGGGGTTCTAAGGTTTGTATTTTTGGCGGAAATGTAACACCTACTATTATACTTATGAACATGAATACTGCCTCATATCCCATCGGTTAATCGATGTATGTCAATGTATAAAGTACTTACAGCATTCATATGCAGTATAGAGTAGAAATCTGGTCGTGCCAGGAACTCAGCCGCGGGGTGGGGTGCGGGCGGTAGTGGTGGCTCACGAGGGGAAGCCGCGGGAGGGGGAGACGAGCGATCCTCTTCGCCTAGCTGCGTACGCGTCATCGTACGACGGATTGATTGGTATCTGGAAAAATTGGTAATTACAAGTATAAATGTATTTGCTTTCATAACCTCTTTAGGTAATATAGGAAATGACAGAACAATTGCCAAGTCTTATATTGTTACTATTTATGGTTGAAAAGTAATATTTGTAAGGAAATATTAGTAAATTGTGTCTTATTTGTAATGAGAATTGAACTACCTTCTATCTAGCTGTCTCCTCTGAATTTCTGGAGCAGGTGACCTTGGAGAGCTTCCATTAGCTGCAGGTCTCTGCCAGGTGGTCATCCGATTGATGTGGTCGATGTAAAAAACCCTGCCGTGGCTATCCATACGGGCTTCCCATCCTGAAATCATAAATCTAATTAGAACCAAAACAAATAACCAATGTAAATCGTGTGTATCAGTTTAGAAAGAAGCTTACCAGGAGGTAACGGTTCTTCACATTCAATTATCCCGCCAATCATATTAGCAGGAAAATCTCCAGTTAGTGCCATCTGCCGCGACGCTCTTTCAGGTATAGAAGGTAGCCTAATTCCAGCCATATGCCTTAGAGGTGTCGGTGACGCTACAGCATTGTCATTGTCATCATTGTCTTCACTTTCTTGCTGAGGTCTCCTCAATACAACATCATCAGGTGGTCCTGCATGAACTATTGTAAAGTGATTACTGTTCATAAATTCTAAGTTTGGAGATCTTATCTCCGACGTTCTTAACTCGTTAGTAAATTCAACCATTTCAAAAGTATCATGCCGATTCTCGATACTCTGTATCGGTGGAGGATGTAAGTCTGGTGGTGGAAGAGGACGTGGCCTTCTGTGATGCGTCGGAGTAGGAGGACATTGCGGTACGGCCGCGCCTGCCAGGGCTGCAACACGGGTTAAAACCCTTGGATGAGGTCGTGCTGGACTCTCCGGATTCTCTTTTAAAAAGTTTGTCCGGTTCGGGGAATGTTTAGGAGTAGATTCACAGCCAAGGTTCTTTAATAGGTGTCTTGGTAAACTTGAATGCCTAGGAGTAGAACTATCACACGAATATTTACGGTTCATCAATAAAGTACCCACGGTAGGCATTCCTTTACACCCTTCTTCTACAGGAGACGTTGAATGCGATGAGTTACATGAACTACCACCGTTTGGGCTATTGCTTCCACTTTCCCGACTAGGGCCATCTATATGAGATGAATTAAGAAACGCTGTCATCATTGTAGGAGTATTTGCTCGTCCAGAATTTTGCCTAGTCAGAGGCTTGTGACCTTTGATGGTTATTTCTTTTTCTTCAATCTGGTTTCTGTTATCGTCTTCAAAGTCGGTGCTATTACTTATATCGTTGAGAAAGGTATGTTGAGCCTTTTCTTCGGACTTTGCATGATTTGGTGTTAAATGAAAACCATCTACCACATCCTTCTCTTTTCTTGCAAAAGTTGTGGTTATATAGTTATCGGGGCCTATATCTTTTATAAACATAATATTTTTTCTACTTACAGTAGGTGTGCCTTCAGGTACAATATTTAATTTCTTGTCGTCTAATATTTTTGATACTTTCATAGACGATAATGTTGATTCACATAAACTGCCTTCTGTCTCCGGTGTTGCTAATGGAGCTACATTTTGAGTATCTTTAATATTTGCAACCGTGGCAAGAGAATGCTGTTTTCCGGAGAAGAATTCACCGGGTTTAAAATCATTCATGTTACCTTGTAAACCAGATGAGTTGGAAATATTTTTATCAGTAAAAAATTGTTCATCCGTATCAATTAATTCAAAAGTAAAAGCATCTTCAGGTTTGCTAATTTTTTTCGGCTTCCTATGCCTTTGTACTGCAGGAGGTAAAGCATGCATTCGCTCTAACGGTTTATGTGATTGTCTTGGTGGTAAAGGCGGAACCGGCGATTTTTGGGCATCACTGGGTATATTGGCACCTTCGACATCATAAACAAACTTCATTATTTTGCAAGGATTTTGAGGAGACCAGATTTTATAATACTCTGTGTCAGGCGATGATGGTGATTCCAAACCTACATTTAAATTAGTTTTTTTCTTAACGCCATTTAACGGTTGGCCGCCTCCGGTGTCGACAGGTGGTGGACACTTCTTTTTTACGCCTGACGATGTCGGCTTACAGTCAATCGCACTGGGAGATTCACTATTTACAGGAGATTGTTTACTTAGATTACTAACTAGAGATTTACTAGAATCACATTTTGCAGGTTCGAGATTCGAGTTCCCGCTTCTATCTAAAGAACTAATTGAGCACTTATTAACATCTTCGCTCAAATGCTTAATATCTTGATTTGGAGTAACGCGTTCAATTCTTGGACTATTTTCTGAATTCATTTCAAAGCTTTCATTATTGTATGAGAAGGGTGACACGTGATCCCCACTTCTCTTCCTAGAGATACCCTCCTTGAGTCGATGAGGTAACTTTTTGAGGTCGACTTTGATTCTATGAGGGAGAGAGGATGACTCAGCCACACACTCGTCATCTTCACCATTGTAGTAACGAAAACAGAGGAGCTGCTCACAATCTGAAATTGAAAAAGGATGTGTAAGAGATTTTTTTGTAAGTTTACATGGAAATTTAATGTGTTGCTAAGCATAAATAATTACCTTCATAAGGTTGATTGGGCTCATCAAGCAGCCACATTATGTGCCCAGTGTCGCATCCGGTCGCCGGCACGAGCCTGGCGATACCGGCGATGCTTGCGGGATCTGTAAATCAATAATTGACACTGTTATCATTCTATTCATGACATTAACTAGCGTTATCATAAAACATTCTTCAAAGAAATCAACACCCGCTCCGGAAACTGTGATAAGTCAATCACCATTAATTAAAGCCCGCATACAATTTAATGAATAGATAAAAAGACTACTTATTTGAATTTTTCGTTATGTGTCTATTATAAAGCGACAACAAAAAATCTTCATATTAGATACGGCAAGCCGCTGGTATCAGAGAGAGCAAAAAGTAAAAGGTTACGCACAGGTGCAGAAGACTTGCAAAAACAAACAATAAGGTCGCATTGACGAAGAAACAGACTGCGGCAAACCCTTCCATTTTTTATCTAACAAAAATCAAGGCGTAGGACGCACGGTTCGGCGCAGGCGCAACACAATTTATGCGCCAGACTTAATCGCCGGATGCGGGAGTCGCCCGCACATTTTATGCGAAATAATCGCAGCCACCGAATTGTCAGTTAATTGAAAAGACATGCCAATAAATTTCAGAGAAGGCAAATTAATACCGCGCTGGGCTCCGAACGGGAGCGAATTAGAATTAACATATTTTGATTGGATAAATATCGGCGCATGGTTAACATCTTCCTGCAGTTGATTAAGTATTTGGTGCGCTCGTAAATATGGGCTGGGTGGATGTTTACGTCAAACATTAAACTTTGTTCTCAAGCTCGGATATAATTTATAACAATATAATAGGCTGCGGAAATAATGACGAATGTATCGGAAAACGTGTGTAATGTGTATACGAAATAATTATTACTCAGGATTAAAATGAACTTAATTAAATCAACTAATACAAAACATATGAGTTTTTAACCATCAGTATAACATGACTGATTATAACCATTACTTTTTATAAGCAGCTGTTTATTTCAATCATTTGCTAGGCACATCGTTTGTTAGTTAAGCACGTATGCGCACTGAATATTATTTAATGACTGTCATTTCCCGCCTGCTGTTAGCTTAAGCCACCATAATATTACAGAGGCGGGATTAATGCAACTGAAACGGAGCTTTTTTAAATATAAGTAAGCTTGCCTTGGTAATTAAAGTACGGTTTGGAGTTCAATGTTTCACGTATTACAATTTATCTTCAAAATAAAAAAACAGAGATTAAATTATACAGTAACCGTTTTCATGACGGTTTGTTCACTGTCGGCATAATAGTTAACAAACAAGCGAAAACTTCTTAGCATTCCCGCCCCCCAGACGTGGTGATTAGTCAAGTGACGATGGTGACGACAGACGGTGACACAGAGGGCGTATATTTCCGGCGGTGACGTAACATCCGCACACTTCCGGAGGATACCACAGATACAACGAGATCAACTGATGAGCTTCCGCGGGATTTTGCGGTTAACACGAAAAACGGCGGCGGGATAACGTCAATAGATTATCTTTGACGTTTAAATATAAACTGTTACCCTACTAAATGATGTATCAGAAAAACTTTATTATTCATACAAAAAACTAAACCATTTCTAACAAATTGTGTTGCTAACGATGTTTTTACTCATGATCTTTAAAAAAAATAATCATATTAAACCTTACAAAAAATACGTCAAAAGAGTCCATAAGTTTTATAATCTTTCGTGCGATGAGGAAGGAAATGGAATCTAGAATGTTAGATACCCTCTTCTGCGTAGTACTGTGACACATTGAGTTAAAAACACGTAATTAAAATACCGAACTGTGAACAATGTGAACATCGACAGGAAGAGCATAGTTAAACGTCGGTCACTGTGACCCTTGTAACGCCTACGTAAAGATTTAACCTCTTTAGAATTATTTGTGACAATCGGCTTCTTTGAAGTTAACAAAATATACATTTGTTACGTCAAATGTACTTTAATAATTCAATATAGATTTGATATTCGGGGCTAATCAAGCATAATTTTATTGATAGTATGCACGTCATTTAATTTATTCATAAAATTTATATTTTTTTAAAGTATTTATAGGTATCAATATGATTACTGTCAGACTATAATAACGTCACAGTGTTGTTAACTTAATAAAAAATAATTAAGCACTGCTTCGAGCTCCAAATCTCACGACACTTCACTTTCCGTACAGACTAGTAAAATCATAAAGTAATAATAAAGAAATATTAAATAAATAATAGTATAATATTAATATTAATATATATTCTATTTATATTAATTATATTTAGTATTAATATTTAATGTAATATTTAAGCATGTTCTAATTTGTCTATGTCAAATACAGTCAAAATCTGTTATAACGACATCGAAGGGACTACTTATATTTGGTCGTAAAAACCGATGGTCGTAACAGCCGATGACGTTGTCATTAAGTACCTACATAATACAATAGAATTCAGCCGGGACCTTTAATCTTAGTCAATATAACCGTTATGTTGTTCTAAACGATGTCGTCGTAAACGGTTTTGGTTGTATGTCAAACTTCATACAGAAAAAACGGTTTGACAGCTCTTAAACCAAGATTAAAGTTTGATTGACACACCAAAATCGAACACATTTCTATGAACAGAAATGCTTTGTCCAGTGTCCCACTTCCAATTGACACGTCGCATTTGTTGAAAAGGAATTTATCAACAAACTATTTCCAGCACTTAAGAGCATCCGCGTTGAAATAACATTTGGACGCCAGGAAACGAGAGTTTAAAGGGGTCGAGTCGATGACAGATCCCCATTAGTGAAGTGACGATTTGACAGTTTCACTACGCGGTTACAAGACGACGATAGCAGTTCACACGATCTTCCCTCACCTATTAAGCTCTTGACGATAGATTTAACACAGGTGACTATTGTTAACAGCAACAACATTACCAAAAGGCCTTTTAACTAAATAGTAAATTGCTTTGCAGAGCATTTATTAATATATTGTGTCTAGTTTTTAAACATACCTACAAATATTGATGATAACTGATAATTAATTTTAATTTCATTTCGCAGTCAAAGAATCTCTCTCTCTCTTATTAAAAATTTAACAACAATTTTCAATATATAATTATTCGATATATTTTAGATGTGCGTATATGATGTTTAGCTATTTAATCCTGTTATGTATCCTGATGTTGTCTTTGGTATAGTAAGGTACAACCAGTTTGTAGTAAGGACGGAACTCGCTATTGTACTATATATTTAAGGTCCTAAGGATATATTTACAATTGGAAAAACTGCACGTACCAAATAATACACACAAACACAATTTATTAAGAACTATATTGGACTGGAAAGTATTACAGTTTAAAACAATTTAACTCTTTGAATTCTTAATTCTTTTCCTTCAACCCATTCGCTTTAGAATCCCTTAATTCAGCCAGGCCATTAAAAGACCGGTTCATTTAACGACTACAGACCACTTAACATTCAGACCGGCACCGGATATTCAGTGTTTAAAATGATATAACACCCATTTGTGCCTTCCGAGATAAACATGTTCCATTTTTAATTAATCATCGGCAGAATAATTTCCTTTGTTAATTATTTCCTAATATCAACATCGGTCATCCCTCTCTATAACCTTTAAAAAATATAATTGGAACAAGTAGTTCTCAAGCCAATTCTTCAACAGCTAAGTAACGTCTTATTTTCTGGGAAATTTAAACCACTTTGAAGTGTAAGAAATACTCAAAGTTCGTTTCGTGACTCATTATCTGATCGCTATTCTAGAATACCTCATAGACCTGTTAAACGCACTGATTCATTACACTTGATTTATTAGCATTGTAACGATGAATGACCAATAATTTATGCATAACTTAATTTAATGCGGACGGACGTAAACTGTTTATTGTGAGCGGAATAAAATGTACGCGATACGAGATTATCGTATAAGTGAATTGTTCACTGTAGCGAAACAATATATTAATGAATAAACAATGACATAAATTAAAGACAATTTCGGGCGTTACACTAAGCTTTTTAACGTTAAAATTTATAACCTGTAATAAGCTTCGTCTTCGCAAACTTCATTACTGCAGGTCGTGTTTGTCTTGAAAAGCCCTAAGCGACCTATGGACTTGCTGCCTCCACACGATTATATCCTCAGCTTGTCTCAGTGCATTAGAAATGTTGAGACCCATTTACCTGCTCAGACCAACGGGTAGGCGATCGACCCCGACTGCTCTTGCAATCACTCCTCCCTACCATTACCAACTTGTCGAAACTATTTGGTTCTCTCCTGGCAATAAGCTTAACTAATCTTAATTCAGAGCACTGTTAGCCTTGCGGCTTCAGCGTGCGACTGTCAACCCTGATGTCGTAGGTTTGATCTCCGACTGTGCAATAATGGACTTTCTTTCTGAGTTTAAGTTTAAGTGAATTAACATTCGCTCGAACGGTGAAGGAAAACATCGTGAGGAAACCGGCTTGCCTTAGAACCAAAAAGTCGACGGCGTGTGTCGGGCACAGGAGGATGATCACCTACTTGCCTATTAGATTGATTGATCCGACCTAAAAAGGTAGCACCACTGATTTATTTATAATTTTAATTCAACTTTAATAATAGTTTAAGACAAATAATGAATCGAATATTACTATCTCTTGCGTTCGGCGGCAGACAAGCTGCCCTCTAGATAAGGGCTTATTATGGTAAAGCGCACCACACGCTTGCCATATACGACGAAGTTGGTTACCAAGTACGGAACGCGAAGGAATCGCCCGTTATCACCATCTTTGGTACCGTCTGATATGGTATGCCAATAGTGCAACTTATTAGGCTTCGGAGAAATCGTTTATTTATCGCGCCGAATTTCACAATACGAGAACTGAATAGATTATTGTATCTAAATGTGGTACAAAGTTTATATACAATTTGTACGGGGACAGGTTGCAATTGCGGCCTAATCACTAACATATAAACTCTTACAGGCAAGTCTTACAAATCTGTTGATTGGCATTAAACATATGCTAAATTGACAAATCTTTCTTGTTTTGGCGGTTTCATCTTACGTTATTCTGTTATACATTATTGAGCAACACACACGTAAAACATTCGTCTCTTTCTTTCAAATTGCGTTTACGCCGTGATGACAAGAGTCAGATAGGTACTTTGATCAAACCGCTGCACTTTGTCTTATTCTTTATGAATGAGGAAGACACGAGGCGGAATTTTTTTCGTGGTCTAAGTAAAGGACGGAGGTAAACGACAATTCTATAAACCTATTCCGAATGACAAGCGTTAAGCTTTCAAGAGTCATTCAACCTTTCGTCTTGGATCATCTCAAGTTTAAACTTAGCGATAAAATTACCATCAAGATAAGATATAAACTGGTTGTTTTACGTGTCCCGATTCGATTACATCAAGCTTTAATGGGAGCATTTAACTGTCAATTATCAACCCGGCACTTGATAATGTAATAAATTATGCTATTGTTGAAATGAGGCGATTGCGCTTACGCAACAATCTCATTGATAAACGATGAGTGTAGAAATTATAGGAAATATTTGATTCATGCATTTTTAAAGCATTTCAAAATGTTAAATAATGTATAACTACAAAAAGGGAGATTCCAAAACGTTTAAAAAGGAAAAGTGTTGAAACTGCTATGGATCTTTAGAAATTGTACAATACTCCTAAATTTGGGCATTGAAATAAATCTTTATTAACAATCTATATAATCATACTTAATGCCCTAGATGTGGCAGAGGGCGTCCCCAGATTCCATCGCGGTCGGTCCTGAGCCTCGTATTTCACCTTGTCTTTCTGGCTCTCTTTGCCTCATCTGCAACTGTACGACGCCAAGTTTTGGGACGGGCACATAATCCCATATAATCAAAATCATAATATCAATAATTACGCATAATCTCACTGTGACAAGTATAAAAACAATTAATTTCCCTTTCCAACAGTAGGCAAAGCATTTGAATTTTTACAACATATTTGTCATGTTACTATTCTGCCTACTATACTTTCTAACATGAATACCGCCCTGTTCTAATTACCATATCCGATTGATCGGCGCGTGCTCATTGATCGTAGTGGGGGTGCCATTCATAGACGCCCGCGCACCTTGCCGGTACGACATTCCACAACACCTCGTCTGTGTTATACTTGTTTTATTATCAAAGACACGGTGAGTGTGACACAATACAATTTAACTGTTGAAAGTAACTGTAGACTATGCGACATTATTAACACTTATAAAATACCTCTGATTTTATGGTGCTGCGAATTCCAAATATATGGTTACTAGCTGATCCGGCAAACGTCGTTTTGCCATGTTTATCATTTATAATAAAAAATAGGGGTTGATCGTAGAGGGGTGAAAATTAGGGGTTGTATGTATTTTTTAATGCTGTATCATAAAAAAATAAAAATTAAAAAATTTATCTAAAAATTAAAAAAAAAATTAGGGGTACCCTAACATTTAGGGGAATGAAAAATAGATGTTGTCTGATTCTCAGTTATACCCAATATGCACACAAAATTTCATGAGAATCGGTCAAGCCGTTTCGGAGGAGTTTAACCACAAACACCGCGACACGAGAATTTTATATATTAGATATATAATTTATCGCGCTACTCTTCTTAGGTTGCGGTGTTTTACTTGCAGTCAACATTGCCCTACACTTTTATTATAATTTAAAATCGACATAGTCTAGGTTTATTTGTCCTACAAATTCAAGCTTCTAAGTACTAAAATGGTTAAGTAAGCTAATCTCTGAGTTTACAAGCATATTGTTTGGTCATACAGCCCACAGCAGCAAACAGGTACGATATGTTAAACAGATTAGGTAATAAGGTAAATGGTATGTCAAATTGTGCAAGTATTCATATTTGCGGACACCTACATACTGGTTAGGTCCTAACGACTTATTGAAAAAGTACGAGTCAAGGAAAGCGCGAACATTTGCATTTGCTTAATGCCTACTGCCTTTTATTTAATAACTGGCCGTCATCTTCCCATTTGAACATCTTCAAAGGTTTTATAAAAATAAATCAGAAACACTACAACATTTTTAGGTCTGGGCCTCAGATTTCTGTATCCGTTTCATGATCATTTTTCAATCTAATAAGCAAGTAGGTGATCAACTCCTGACACAAGCCGTCTACTTTTTAGGTCTAAGGCAAGCCAGTTTCCTCACGTTGTTTTCCTTCACTGTTCGAGCTAATTTTATTTGCACACATAGAAAGAATGTCGATTAATGCACAGCCGGTGACACCTTCGACCTCAGGGATGAGAGTCGCACGCTGAAGCCACTAGGCCAACTCTGCTCTTTAAAGGTTTTATACGTAGCGTAAAATTCAGGCGCAGAGCATTTCTTACTTATGCTTCTGTATGAAAATGAGAGCGTTAAAATCCTTATCTTTTTTCCATGGTCGATTACAATACATCAGCTTTTTAAATTGCACAGTATTCGTAACGAGTAATATCAACGAAAACATTAACACAGCTTTTACCGAAATGGTGAATTTCAATGAACTACTTTGTCCATATAAACCTTCTGGAGGTGTACGTAGGTTGAATTATGCACGATTATAGTAATCCTTATCTTGAATCATCACTTTATATGTATTTATTTGAATTATTTATCACTAATTTGGTGAAGAAGACTTGAATAATTCAACAACACTAATTCAAACCTATTCTCGCGGAGGATCGCACTATTTATTTAGACGAGTGACATAACGAGAGGAAAATATCGATATTTAAAAAAATATATAATCCAAACAGTATCAAGGAACTTTATATTAAATTAAAAAATTGTTTTTAATAAAACTCAATTTTATTATATTAAAAGTTCAAGTTTGATTTCTAGTAAATGATTATTAAACTTGATTAAGGTTGTATGAATAATTATTAGACACAGGTGATGAC